CGCGTCAATTTGCAGTTGCAGTCCCTCAGGGGTGTCCGATATACCGACAAAATCATTCGCAAACAGCATTCCTGAAACCGACGTTTCCGTGCTCCCTACTTTTACTCCCTTCCGGACTGCCTCTACGACTTCCAACAGATCGTTGATGAACACCTGGAACAATGTAGGGGACAGCGTGCAACCTTGTGGGACCCCCTGCTCAATGTCGAAGAATTTAGACAGTTCTCCGTCTAGTATGACCGTGCTTTTCGTACACTCTGTCATCTTCTTCAGCACTCTCCACATAATTGTGCCTGTGATGGCACCCATCGTTGATTTCGCACCCATCGGTATTGTGGCACCGGGGAGCGCAATAATATCAAGAACGGCATAATTTGATTGTATTCCCGCACCGGTATCGGTGTTATCGTACCCGGTGCGATATCAACGATATAAAATCTGCGCAGGACGAAAAATTGCGTGCTTCCGCAAGGTATCGGTACCCTCCGAACCACGTGTCCAACGGTATGTGACGCGGTTGGCAGGTACCAATTAGGGCCCCATTTGACGTATGTATATCGTACCGTCGTGGTTTGCGCAGTATTCATAGTTTTTTTTTCTACGGTAATCCGCACGTCGAATGCACCCGTTCACCCAACCAAGCACACAAGACACATCCCGCACCTATAACCGAACAAGATGGAGTTCGTAAACGGTACTACGATTCTACCGGTACCATGCCCCTTGAGGCAGACAAAGACAGAGGGAAGCACCAGCCAACAAAGTAGGGGCTTGCGACCAACAAGGAGGCTGGAAGAAAAACGATACCGTGCCATATACCTTCCCCAGCAGGGAACCACAGCGTCTGTTCTCTTTGGCAGACGCCACCCCAAACTCGGATTCGACCTCATCACTGATCACCACTCCGGGCTGGTTGCATGGTACCGCCTACGCAAGCTACATGTACCAGGAACCGCCTGTTCGTTTCTTTACTATCGCACCTATCGGTGTCATCGCACCAAGGTGCGATGGAAAATCTAGAACGAAATGATGAAATCATCAGTGTAAAGACTTAAAAAGACTCGAAATAAGTCCAGTACCCAGCCGGTTTTCCTATTTACACGCACTGAAAAGACTCCACCACATCCCGTTCGACTACTGCTGCTGCTGTGGGTATATCTAGAATGGGTAGTATTCCTGTGCGTGTAATTGTTTTTCCTTAATTCAATTGCATTTCCGCACCGGTATCGGTGTTACGGCACCCATCGGTGATATGGCACCGGGGTGCGATGAAAATCCAAGATAGGAATGATACAAAAAACGATCGCACCCCGGTGCCATCACACACACAACTACGGTAGTCCTCGGGGAAAGGACAAGCGGACCAAAATGCCTCATGTGTTGTGCGAAGCCCGCACGACAGACAGACACCACACCGGCGAAGGTTCGCTTCTGCCCGCCGACCAAATCCTCTTTACTAGATACCATTACCTGTAACACAGCAGTGTACAGCAATTGGCCTCGAAGAAGACACTCTGCCTGCTGCTGCAGCTGTACTGAGAGACTTGAGATGAGAGTGTGTACAACAACGTACGGCGGTTTGTTCCATTTCATTCTGGGCCGAGCCACTCTGTTGATAAACAATCCATGAGACATTCTCTCGACGACAGCCGCCCCGCTGACCCAGCGCCGCTCCCCGAAGGTATCATGGTGGGCTCTGGTGAATGAACGCCTCGCCCGCCCTTGAAATACTGCAACGTTGCTGTCTGTGCAGTTGGAACACTAAATACTGCTGTGAGAAAGACGCTGCGCAATAAATATGTAGTGACGACAGCATTTTGAGCTGAAATCCGACGGTGGGTCCCACCTGGCGACCAACATACCAGGCTCGGCTGACTGGGGGAGGGTGTGTGTGTCAGTAATTTTTGCAACCTATTCGTGTCTCTTGTGCTAAGCGGGTTAGGGTTAGCTTAGGGTTGGAGTTACCATAACTAGACCTGGTGTGTACACATGCAAATGCGTGTCGAAGTCGCTAGACCGTTGACCTCGCATACCTACAATGCCGGACGGAGCGATATGCCTTGCGGGTTTCCCCCAGCCCAGGGTGTACGTTTCACAAAAGAGAACCAGAAGCTGGACGTCATCCTATCGTTTTGCTGATCCCAAACTCTTACGTATATGCCATGGGATGATTGGGCGTCCCGGCTACTGCTGTAGTCAAAAGTTTCACATTCGGCAGCCACGACCATAGTTAAAGTACCGCCAGGACGTCGATCTTTGCGAGCTCGTACACAACAGGCGCGCCACACACGACGAACACATCGCTTACGTGTGTGATACACTTGGAGTACAATCTACCGCTGAATAGGCGGAAAAACTACAGTTCCAGGGGGGAGGGGGAGGGGCGTCCTCATATGTAGCCACTACTGTCTTCTCCTGGCTATTTCATGCCTCAATCATCTCTATGACTTCCTTCCACTTTCCCCAGCTCAGCCATGTCCATTTCTCTCTCCTTTTCGTAGAGAACGGACATTCTGCAA